GATGATCTGATGGCATTATGTTAACCCCCATAATTGTATTTCAAATCTTTCACCATCTGAATTTAGGGCCCTCGATTTGAGTAGAGCCCCTGAGGTTGTCATTAAACAGGTGGACAAGGGAGGATTATGTGGCTGAATCTACCCGCCTCCTCTCTAATAAAACCACCTTCAAGAGGGTAATATTTCCAAAACAGAAAAAAGTTTCCTGTTTCGGGATCACTAGTATAACCCTTATTTTAATTACCTACTTAAAGGTAATTCAAAGGTAAAGAAAATCTCAGAAAATCCCCCCTGGGAAGCTTTTCATTGCCTCCTATGGATAGTCTAACCAGTGGCTTGTCTGATTATCTAGATTTCTTCTTGCAACCATTGGTTATGCCCCTTCCAGCTTATATTGGAGATTCCTGTCACCTTTTGGCTAATATGAGGGGATATACAGTACATGAGATGAGGACTTCATTTGGGTTTCCCTATATGTGACCTCTCTATATACTAGCATACTACATGAGACAGGTCTCTCGGCTTTGCAGTTTTTCTTGGGAAAGGGGCCCAATATCAATAAATGTGAGGCACATTTTTTGGTGGAAGCAGCCAGTTTCATTTTACCATAATTATTTCAGTTTTTTAGACCAATTTTATCACACCAATGGCACAGCTATGGGGCTAGTTTTGCTCCAACTATGCCAGTCTTTTCATGAGATACTAGGAAGCCCTTTTTTTATTTCAGCAAATAATCCATTTGCTGTGCATTTGGCCTATTACGCCCATTGACGACCTGATGGTACTATGGCAGGGTGACATTCACCTCATCAATGGTTTTCTAGCATATTGTAATTGCAACACTTTCTATATACACTCACTTTATTAAGTACTCCTTGCTAGTACTGGGTTGGACCCTCTTTTGCCTTCAGGACTGCCTTAATTCTTTGTGGCATAGGTTCAAAGGTGTTGGAAACATTACTCAGAGATTTTGGTCCATATTGAGATGATAGCGTCACAGGCCCAAAGTGTGCCAAGAAAATATCCCCCACACCATTACACCACCACCACCAGCCTGAACCATTGATGCAAGGCAGGATGGACCTATGCTTTCATGTTGTTTACGCCAAGTTCTGACCCTACCATCTGAATGTCACAGCTGAAATTGAGACTCATCAGACCAGGCAACGTTTTTCCAATCTTCTATTGCCAATTTTGGTGAGCCTGTGTGAAATGTAGCCTCCATTTCCTGTTCTCAGCTGACAGGAGTGACACCCGGTGTGGTCTGCTGCTGCTGTAGCCCATCTGATTCAAGGTTCGACGTGTTGTGTGTTCAGAGATGGTATTCTGCATACCTCGTTTGTAATGAGTGGTTATTTGAGTTACTGTTGCCTTTCTATCATCTCGCACCAGTCTGCCCATTCTCCTCTGACCTCTGACAACAACAAGGCATTTTCGTCCACACAACGGCCTCTCACAGGATATTTCCTCTTTTTCTGAACATTCTCTGTAAACCCGAGAGATGGTTGTGCGTTAAAATCCCAGTAGATCAGCAGTTTTTTAAATACTCAGTCCAGCCAGTCTGGTACCAACAACTATGCTACGTTCAAAGTCACTTAAATCCCCTTGCTTCCCCATTCTGATTCTCAGTTTGAACTTCAGCAGGTCGTCTTCACCACGTCTAGATGCATATATGCAATGAGTTGCTCCCATGTGATTGACTGATTTAGCAATTTGTGTTACCAAGCAATTGAACAGGTGTACTTAATAAAGTGGCCGGTGAGTGTACACTTCACTTCAGTAATTGAGGTTACCTTCTTGACTTGGAGTTTGTGCATAACCATCTAGGGCAGATTTCCCCAAGACACATTTTAAGACACATGCCCACAGCTGGCAACTCCTATCTTCAATTTGGGAGTTGCCATCATTCCCGCTGGAAAAGAAATATACCCTTTGGGCAATTTTGTAGGTTACAACGGAACTGTTCCACTAATGTAGATTATCAGATACAACGTGATCTTTTGTTAGATAAGGGTTATGATCCAGGTCTACTAGACCAGGCATACAATAAATATCTTCACCTTTATACATCGTCCTTAGAGAGGTTGAATGAACCCTTAGCAGGGGTCTAGGAGGACCCCATTTTGAAGGGTTTATCACTCACTTCAATGATAGATGTACATTTATTTCCTCTATTATCCACAAAAACTGGCAGATTTTATTCAGCGAACCGAAGTTACAAAACCACAATCTGCAGAAACCACGGGTGGTGTTTCGTAAAGCCAAAAGTGTTAAAGGATTTATTGCCCCTAGTAAATTACACAAATCGGCTATCCCTGTAGACCATATTTTACCCACTTTTCTGTCCTTTTCTGGAACCTTCCAGTGTTGCAAGCTTAGATGCTTGGCCTGTTCTCATATTACATATGGCCAAAATTATTTCTAGGACAGAACTGGTAAAACATGCCATTTGTGATTTTATTCATTGTTCTACTTCCTATGTGGTGTACTTCCTCACCTGCCCTTGTGGATTGATGTATGTGCGTAGAACTGTCAGACCATTGAGGGTTCGTTTTGGAGAACAAAGGCATATTGTGGAAAAAGGGTTCCCTAAATACAATGTGGAGAATTTATCACAACTGGAGCAGACAGAAACTGGAGCAGTTGCCCATGGCAACCAATCAGCATCTCTATTCAGTTTTCTCAGTTGGGATTTGAAAATGAGAGATAGAAGCTGATTGGAGCAGATTTGCATTGCAACCAGATTTTTTCTGCTCCAGTTTTTTTAATTCCCCCCAGTGTCTTGACATTTTTTTTTCTCATCATAACAAAGAACTTCCCTTTTTGCCATCCAGGTTATTTCCACCCAGTTGTCAGAGGGTGAGTGACTGTGTTCTCAGAAATCCTATTTGATTTTCCCTATAGATACTTTCTACTAGTGGCCTAAATGAAAACTTGGATGTCCATATGATTTAAAGTGGACCTTTACACTCAAAAATCAAATTCTGCCAATGCATCCCTCTATGTATGATGATTAATATTAACATAGACATGACAGGTGTAAAATGCTGTGATTTTGAAATAGTTACACTTGTAGAGCATTCACTTCCTGCTTTGAAAGGCAAAATGACTTCAGTTTGCCCAAGCTATGCATCCTGGGAAGGTTACATCAGCAGAGCATTCCTAGGAAATCTCATCTCAGGGAAAGGCATTTTGCTCCCCTGAGATGATATGCATAGTCACACGTTTTCAGGAAGTAAAAGCAGATCTACTAACTTGCCCTTAGTAAACATGGCCACTGTCAGAAGACTGGGGAAGAAAAGAGAAATAAGGAATGCAAAGAATGCAAAGCCGGCAATTATCTAGAAGTATGTGTTTGTAGATTGCCATTACTAAACATTTCTAAAGGTGTGTGTGTTGTTATTTTAAAGATATGGGTAAAGGTCCGCTTTAATGGATTATTTAGTGTGCTTATTTGTTTTTTTGACTTACCCTTAGTTGGGTTTCTCATCATCTGAGCCATCTTATAATACTTGTTGCTATGCATTTGTTAATTCTATAAGGGTTATTCTTCGAGCGATACCACTTCATTTAATTGTGATGGTTTGTGGTGTGTGTGCCTTGTAATTGTAATTGCTGATTTACTTTATAATAAACGTTTATAGGGTTAATGTCTGCTCTCTCTGAGAGACATCCCCTTGTTGATTAGGATTCACCCTTTATTAAGTGTAGAGGTAGTCCGGGAGTTAGGCTGAAGAAGGGGAGGATCTCCTCAAAACATGTTTTGGATACGAGGTGACATTGAGATTGGGACGCCACGCCAGGAGCCAGCTATTCTTCTGTCTATGACAACACATGGCAAGTCACTTCCAATTATCCTTCTACCATCGAGAATCAGCCCATGGCCAGGGCAGGATGGCACCAGCTACAATGTTATTATCTCCCTGTGCATGAATGTGGTTGTTCCTGCTACTTGTTTCAATAATGTTTTGCATTTTAACGTAATACTCTATTAGTCTCTTTGCACTGTGTCCCTTTTTTGTTGTTGTTTTTTTTGTTTTCAGATCTCTGGCACAGCTTTTGCTGTGGCCCAGTCTTTGTAGGCTCTCTACGTTGGAGTAAATCTGTTTTGTGGTTAATGTGTTTTAATATGTTAACTTTATGCACTGGACTGCCCTTTGTGCCCTGTTTTTAATGTTTTGCGGAGTACTCTCCAGTGATAGAGCTCTGGCATCCTGTACATGTGACCCAGTACCTGTAGGCTCTTTCCCTTGAAGTGAATCTCTGTCTCTCTTGATACATTTTACGAAAATGCAGGCAAGCTGCAACAAAGGCAAACTTTTTATACTGACTCCCACTGCACGTCAGTAGTGTGCAAATACACCTTTTGTTACCAAACGTGATTTAATTCTTCTTCTGAATCTTTCTAATTCAGAGGTCCCTGTATGCCTGTTACATTCTAGAATACCCTCATTTACCTTTCTCTTTTTATACAGTATTGTGTGATATCTGCACCCCTTCTTTAAAAAGGACTCTGTATTTGCTTACTACCATGTGGCTTGTAAATACACAGTTAATTAAACTTAGCATTACACTCAGTTTACCTCTTTATATTGTAGCCAGAATTATGTTTTTTACATGTTATAGGACTACGACCTTATGATTATGTGCTTTTTCAACATCCTTTTCTTGCTCATGTGTTTATGTTGTATAAGTTTATATTCATGGCCATTCAGAAGATGAGAATACTGCTGGCCCTTTATTGGCTTCTCTTATATCTGACACATTCTGGCACATGTTCCAAGTATTTATGATTACTGATTTATTTAGATTTACTGTATAAAGATCTAAGTATCTTATACAGCATTAACATGAATCCCTGCCAAGAAAAGCTTCATCCTATATTATCAGGTAGTTTTGTATCTGATATTCAGTTATATGTTTCTTTAGAAATATGGTGTATTGTTTCTCTTTTTCGTAATGAATGCTCATAATTGACCTATATGTGATTTTCCTTTTAGTTTCAACCTTCAAGCTGTACCAACGAGCAAAGCATGTGTATAGTGAGGCAGCTAGAGTTCTAGCCTTCAAGAAGGTTTGTGATGAGGCACCTGCCAATGCTGTTCAGCTGCTGGGAGACCTTATGAACCAGAGCCATGTGAGCTGCAGAGACTTGTATGAGTGCAGCTGCACTGAACTAGATCAGCTGGTGGACATCTGTCTGTAAGTTTTGAAAAATATAGCACTTAAAAGAAAAAAGTTTTTGGCTTCCTGTTTGTTTAGATGATGAAACCATGACATTGGTTTCCACAGTTTCTACACCTTTGGCGCCAGTGTAACAAAGTGTCTTATTCCTTCTATTGTCTGTTCATTGTAGAGGCATTGCTGACCCTTCTGAGTATAAATGGTAGGAAATTATATTCTTGAGGTTAACCACAAAGTAAATCATTTTAAGCACATTTTCCCCCTCTGGAACATGTGCTAAAAAAAGCTGAATGATGTTTAACATATATATTGCATATATTTTTATTGTATATTGCAGTTTACTGAAAAACCTATTGACTCTAAAAAGGAGGGATGAGTGCAGCAGGAAGTAATTATATCCACCAGACTAATAGATAAATGATCATACTGCATTTACATATAAAGGGGATATATAGTACTCAGCCCAAACAGTTATTCTAAAAAAAAATAACACAAAATGCTATTCACATATAACTGTATCTAACAATCTTGACTAGATCTTTAAAAAAATGTAATCAAAGCAATGCTGCGTTGGGAGCATGTCATAAGTAATGTCATATCTTGATTCACATAGTAGTGACTACTGACATATGTACTAAGTATAAATCAACAAAAATAACAGATTAACCAACATATATATAATAGCTGACATGTAAACATTCATGACTGTGACAGTCCCATAAGGGTTTGTGGAATAGTATGTGTTTCATGTATACTTAAAGCGGACATTACACCTCAGTGATAATGTCCATTCATTTATGGTGCCCCACCTTCCTCTCATTAAAACCCTGGAATAACGTGAAAAACATAAAATTGGAGTAGGTGGGGGGGAGCAGGAGAATGACATCACACCGTGCACTTCAAAAGTAAGGGAAAGGTGAGTGTATTATCTAACTATTTTTCCCCACCACAGATCTTTTTTTGCGGTTTTGTGCAACGTTTAAAGAAGTGATGGGAGCCACACCAAATAATCAGTCCTTGTCTGAAGTGTATATCAATAGCTGCACATGTCTGTTGACTCCCAGTGGACAAAATTCTGCAACTGGATATTACTATGTAATTACACACATCCATACCATAGGAAGTTATTACAGATGATACCAAAAATTAAGCAAAAATCATACAAGTTTAATCATTGTATAAAACATAAAGTACCAGTTGGCCAACCTTATACCACATTCAGTCATATATGTTTGGGGTCACTGTAAACTCTCATTGGGCCCATACAGGCTAAGCATTGTATTAACACATTATTGTATTAACATCCAATTTGCAGCAGTGTTTGACTTATGTAGGCTATACACGGTGTGAATTTTGGCCGGATTTCCATGAACCGGACAAAATTTGCAGTCAGTGCCTCTGTTGGCACCCTTCCACCCGGCATCCCTCTATTGGCTATTCAAAGTAGCAGAGTGGGAAATTCTCAGCCGAAACAGATCTTGCTGCCAATTAGCTGTGAGTTTCGTTGGGGGGTATTACAATGGCGGTCACTGTTAGAATACAATGGAAAACAGCAGGGGATTCCTCCATCCTTGCTCAAAAGCATTGATTGAGCAATCTGTTATATTTTCTTTGTTCAGCTCGCAGGATAAATGAAGACAATATAACAAACTATACTCAGCTTTACTGTTTACTCTGGCACCCCTCCTCTCTCTCTCTTCCTATGCACTATTTGTCTGTGTGAGGACACTTGTGATTAATATGATGACTCATCTATGCCCAAATAGAGCACTGGAGTAGGAGGGCAGTAAGTACAGTTCTGCTGAAAAATATATTTTAGGGAACTTCTAATTAGTTAAAAATTATAACATGCAGTAGTACAGGACTAGAAAGAGGAAAAAAGATATGAACATTGGAGAGGGGCGGAGCATGTGCAGGGCTTAATGGCATCTGTCGAGTCTGAATAACGTTTTGTTGCCAGTGACGTCATCAGTGTGTGGCCGAATTATTTTCGTTTGAATATGGAAAATCAATGGTTTAACGTCAGGGCCAGATGCAGATACTGTAGACAAAGTAAATAGTGGCAAGTGACTTTTAAGGACCCTTTATATGGATCACTGGTACTCAGATTCCCCCAGGACTTCAACTATATAATCTTACTTTAAAATGTTGCAGATGAACCCCAGGTAAGGGTAGAGGTGTTGAATGGCAATGGAGGACAAATCGGAGACAGAGAAATGGAGACATGGTTAGGGATAGAAAGGTTAGTGTTGAGTGCAGCCTGCAGAGGGAAGCGTAATAAAGCAAGAACAGAGGGAGTGGTAGAGGAGAATGTTTTCTAGAAACAGGCTGAGATTATGGCAAGCGGGCAGTATTCCAGGGTCAGGCTGGGGTCAGAACAGGCAGCAGTCAGAGTAATTCAGGGATCAGCTGATGTCAGAACTGGGACAGCCTGATGTCCGACCTGGCAGCAGACAAAGTATTCCAGAGACAAACTACTGAGACAGGAACTGGTAGCAAGGTACATGAACAAGATTCTAAGACAGCAACAGGATGCAAGATACCGAACAGGAGCAAGATGCAGGAAAATAATTCAAGGTACAGGGCAAGATACAGAGGATGAATACAGGCTCATGCAGAAAGACCCATCACAAGCCCAGAAGCCTGGGTATGTGATGTTTAAATAAAGAGCCGCTAGCCAGTCCCAAAGCTGGGGGGCTTGTGGCCTGGCTCATTAGCCCACAGCTGACAAAGAAATCTGGGCAAGGTTTAGTGGCAGCAAGTAACCACCAAGAGGAGCTGGGAGGCTGCGAAAGAGAAAGTAGATATCGGTATTTGGTAAATCAAGTTCCTTGTTATGGGCTAATAATATTATGATAAATCCCCACAAACACCACAATGATAGTAAAAGTGCAATACCAGAGATAAAAAAAAGTAATGAGACACAATTCCTGTAGTATTCACAGTGTTGGTGGTATCAGAATTGCATTGCCAAGATAGAATGGAGAGATGCTATATTGTACTAGATGTGCATCCCAGAATTGAGGCACAGGATAGGTTTGTGGTTAATTTTTACAGGGTCCCCAATATTGTAAAATCAGATGAGATAAAATGGAATGTGCAAAAGCAGTAAATGAGAACACTAAGGCTGGCCATACACTGTCCGATCTTCAGCTGGTTCATTATGAACCAGCCGAAATTCATTCAGTGGATGGCCCTGTCGGCACCCTTCCATCCAGCTTCCTTGAATTAGAAAATCGAAGGAGTCGGTCAGAAGATTTTCGGCAAACAGTCACTGTTCATGCATTCTGTCACCCGCCACTGTTAGAATACAACAGCCCAGAGGGAGATTCATCCATCCACGCTAAGCAGGAAGAAATATGTTATATATTTTTTATACAGTCCTCAGGTTGAGCTAAAAATATAACAGTGTATGGCCAGCTTAAAAATAAGCTAAATGAGTGCATTCCAAAACTGACTCCCCCCTTCCTCTCCCCATGCCTTGTTTCCTTCTTTCATTCTGAAGGTAAAAGGTCATCCTAACTAATGGCACTTTTAAGCAAAGATGCCTCCTCAGTTTTCTTTCTATCTAATTACAGGATTTATCAGTACTGAAATACTCTACTTTAATAATTATTTTAACCACTTCCTGTCCAGGCCATTTTTCAGTGTTCAGCGCTGCAGTACTTTGACTGAAATTTATTCCGACATGCAACGCTGTACTGAAATGAATTTTATACCATTTTTGGGGACAGATAGAGCTTTCTTTTGGTGGTATTTAATCACTTTTTTTTTAACTATATAATGAAAAAAATATCGAAAATTTTGGAAAAAAAACTGTTATCCCTATGTTATGTTATAAAAATGTATTATTACCCAATTTTTTGGTAAAATATAAAAGACGGGGTCACGTCGGTTAAATAGACATCAAACATGTCAAGCTTTAAAATTGCGCGCACCCGCTACATCGCAAAAAACTACCATACTCAAAATTGACCACAGCCAACGCTTTAAAAGCTGTTACCGCTCATCAGTTTAGTGTCATCAGTGATTGATGGCCCTACAATTATTGCTCTCACTCCGACGTTCGCGGCGATATGTAATATGTGCGGCGCAATGGATGTAATCGTCGTTTTCGCATGTAAGCGGACTCGACGCATGTTTGCGTGTGCATGTGGGGGCGGGGGACTGTAATTTAAAAAAAAATTATTGCTCTGATATGTGACGTTTAATTTTTTTTGTAACTTTAATTTTTTTAACCCTTTTTTTCCCACTGAACTTTATTGCTATCACATAGGGAGAAAATAAGCTCCCTATGTGATAGCCAATTTGCAGTGACAGGTCCTCTTTATGGAGTCGCCGCCTAGCGGCGGGCATGAGCGGAACAGGATAGGACGTCTAAAGACGCCCACCCGCTCTCAAGACGCCGCTGTCCGGCCGTTTAATTACAATGGCCGGACAGCAGGTGGTTAAAGGGATACTGTCATGAGAGATTAATGGAGGCTGCCATTATTGAACACTCCTTTGAGAATGCTAGTTCCTGGCTGTCATCCTAATGCTTTATACTTGTTTTGAGTCAGCAATTTAGCATTGAAGTCAGAGATAGGTAGATGTGACACTAATTTACAACATACTTATTCTGGGTCTGTGATGGAAACATGTCAAAGTCAGACACAAGCAAGCATCTAGCATTTTTAAAAGAAGGCCTGCGGTGGCAAGCCACATACTACTCTCCTGGCAGTCACTTTAACTCTGACATTTTATAACCATTGCCTCTGTTCACTGGGAGATAAAACAGTGTTTTCTCTTTGGCAGTAAGCACTATCACAGAGCTAAAGCTGTTATCTTTTGAATGTCAGACATAAAAATGATTTGTATCAAGAATACAGTATATTGGCATGGGACAATGTTTTACATTTTGTACATCTCATATGCATAGATTTCTTCATTACCAAGCTCTCACCTTTCCACTCACCCAAGACAGTTTTAGATGCCATAATTATCTTTGTGAGATTCTGATTCCTGCCACACATGTGGAT